TCCTGCTGTTTACCTTCTGGTATACTTTCTGAGCACAATCAGAGATCCCTTAAGTCTTACTTTGGCTAGGCTCAGACGACCCTACTCTTTCAAGTTTCCAGTTGTAAAACAATCTCTCCATTCCTCCGCGTGGGGTGAGAGCCATTCCCTGTACTCACAGCTCTCTGAAGTCATCTTTCTGGAGCCCAGGGCTGAAGGCAGGTGAGGCCCGTGGGACCCTGTGCAATGGCACAAGCACTTCCCACGCTCCATAGGGGATACTAACTCTGCTACACATTCGAGACTTCGCTTTTGTCTTTGTGGCCACGTTGCACCGGTGGCTTGTAGTCATCTGAGTACAAACAGGACATTCTCCCTTTGGTTTAGCTATAGCGCTCCACAGACTTATTAAAAATCTGTATACTGGGACTTAGTCTTCATGACTTTACAATCACATAAGTCAGATCCAAAGTCTCTGTTTTCCCCCCATTTTGCATATATTAAAACTCTTTGCTTCACCACACTCCCAATGTGATAATTTCCATTGCGGTAACCTCATTCCCATTTGCCCTCCTGTTCAGCATTATCATCCTCACTGAAAACAGAATGAAAATTAACTGGACTTGGAGGCCACGCTTAGCAGACTTTCATTCCTCTATTTTGGTGCACATGGTTAAGATCTTATTCTGATTTTGTTTGCAGGGTTTACCTCATCCTGCTGTTCAGCAAGTCTCGCTTTACCTCTGTACCGTCTGGCACCTGTTATTTCTGAAAATTTGCTGTTTTGAAATCAAAAGCCTTATTTAGAAGCCCTATTGTTTTTTTTATACCCTTCCCTCCAATTTACTTGAAACCAGTGCAAGATCCCATAAGCACTTTGGTGTTTATATCATACAGAAAACTCTCGAAAAAAAGAAGAGGGGAAAGAGGCTATAGGTGAGTATGGTTGCTGTCTAGAAGTTTCGTGATGGCTCTTGTAAGCTTAAGTTTACAAGTTATCTTAGGCTAAGACAGATATGCCTACAGATGCCTACAGTGCAAGCAGTAACCCTGACAAATCCGTGACTGTCTTGGCAGATGGCAGGGAAGCTGAATCGCTTCCGGAGCTCTACACATGTGCTCTTCAGCTCTGGTATGAGGTGTCTCTGTGAGCAGCATCTGCAAAGCAGCATCACAGCATTGAAAGGTTTCGCCACCACCTGGATGTGACTCACCAGAGCACAGATGCCCCATGTAGCTGGATTTTCAGTCCCAGGAGCTACAAACCTGGGCACACCACGCTGCAGGGAGGTGGTGTACACACTTCTCTGCACGCTGGGAGGTCCGTGCAGTGGAAGGATGGCACCCAAAATGACTCTTTCACAGAAGCAAGGTCAGACAATTTGACAAGCTTCATGAATGCAATTCACTCTAAAAAAAACACCCTTCTTCAAAAACTGAACAACCGTCTTCCAAAGGTAAGGGTCTGTGCTCTTTGATTCTAACGCTAAGCAGCAATAAATACCTCTGCAGTGCAGGAAAGCCCATTAAGCTGGCTGTGGATTGCCACAGATACCCCCTCTGCAGGGCAGGCAGCTATTAAAAGATCGCTGCTTGTTATCCCCTTTATCTCCCTTGGATGTGGTGTAGTGAAGCAGAGCATGCTGATACATTGCCCAGATATGGTGCCTACAGAGGCCCTAACCAATAAACTCTCTTTCAGGACTTGGCTACCAGCACTTGAGATTAGGTCAAAAGAGAGTCTGTGGGAATGTGTCTCTTAGGCTACTCTTCAGGGTGCATTTCTTTTCCTTTACCATCTCTCTCTCCATCTTGATCATCACTGTGCAAAAGAGAGATGCAGTTTGTCACTCTGTGATGCTAGAAAATAATGAGTACCATCAGGAATTCTGCTGGTCTTCCATAAAAATCTCGTAACTGAGAGCTATTTTATAAACCCCTGTCAGGTCTGTGCCCGTATTTCTTATAAAACTACACCCATCAGCCATCATTTCTCCACTCGGGCTCATAATTCCTTCTCTCCTCATTCTTTTAAACAGCTACCTCATCTCACATCACTCTTTGCATAAACTGAGGTTGACTGATATCTGGATAGTGTCATCCACCGCTTTCCACAGCAAGGGTTTTCAAGTTCTTTCTTTAGCAGAACTGTCCTGGCTCTTTGTCCTAGGATAGAGCAAAAAAAAAAAACACCTCCTTTTCTGGCTGCTTCTGCAGGTTAAGCTTTCCTGCACAAAACCAACAAATGTGCTTCTGTTCCCCTATGTACTGAACTTACCTGCAAAAGGATCCTATTTCCATCGTGGTCTTCTGTCTGCCACCTGCCTTCACTGATGGGGCTGCAAGGGTTGGGCAAGAGAGGCACAAGCTGCCCCACATCTTTTACTCTGAACTCCAGCACCGCTGACCCTGTCGGCATTGGCACCTGGCCCTTTGGAAGTTTTTTTAAAGAAAACTGGATGTCTATGTCCATGTTAGAATAGACAGGGAAAACACAGAAGTCCGCTTTTTTCTGGCATACCGGTCTTTTCAGTATCAACTCGTACAATTTCAAAATGTCCACAAAGTTTTCACTCCTGCAGTATATAGTGAAGCGGATAATTTCTTTCCCATAGTGCACTGGGCGAATGGCCCACAGAGGAGTCTCCGGAGCCAAAGAGTAAAAGTCCTGGCTGCACGGCATGTAAGGGAGGAACTTCCCATGCACTCGCTCTGTGTGGTGGTAGCGCCAAGGCGGCCGCTGAAAGGTTTCGTGGAGCTGCAAGATTGGTTCTTCTCCATATTCCTCCTGCAGAAACAGAATGACGGCAAGGGCTGGCTGGGAAACACCAGCCTTACCTGGCTTCCTGCGCTTCTTGGGCACTCGTCTTTCTGAGACTCGAAACAGCTGGAGGTCTGGATGGATCCAGGCTAGAAGCTTATCGACGGCTTGCTGAAGAGTCTTGGATTCACCTGGGTCTGTGATAATATGTACACTAACTAGGAATGGGTCTTGTATGCCTTCCACAGAAAGTTCACCTGGGGGTATAAAACGAAAAATATCCTTTAAGATTTGTAACAAAGTTGTCAACATTTAAGTGGTCTTTAAAGGAGAAACAGTCCACAGTCACACTGGTCTTTTTTTTTCATCTCTCTCAAGCTCACCTGCAGCAAAACAAAAATAATGTACAGAGATATAGCAATCAAGAAAATCATCAGAAGACAGAGAAGTTTCATCAAGCATGCCATAAGAGTCACTGTTTCTACTGAGGTAGCATCCAAGAGACGTTACCCGATGTGCATTTCTGTGTTAGAAAAGAGCTACCCCATACATCTGAGAGGCAGAAAAGACAAAAATACTGACGTAGAGCAGGGGTGAAAGGGACACTAATGACGTGCAGAATGATCAGGGTGGACAGAGTTCATCCCACCTTGTTTTAATTTGTGCCAATTGGCTCAGGGCATGGAAATCACACCACTGCACTCCACTCTATCACCTTGATGTTGGAGTTTTCCACCCAGTTAAGACTGTTCTGTGTCCTAGAGGCAACTGTTTTAATAAGTAAAGCAAAGTTTGTAGGGAGAGGTGATATCTTTTATGAGACCAACTGATACAGTTGGGAAAAAAAACAGACAAGCCTTCAGGCACACAAGTCCTTCTTCAGGAAAAGATATTACTTGTCCTTTACGAATCCTGCACTGTTTATATCTTCAGACCATCAAGACCATAATACTACTCCTTCAAGGTTTTTATAAGATTAGGGAAGACTGGTAAAGGCAGGAAGCACAAAAAATCACACTTACTCAGGGGAAAAATTAAACCTCTAGTTAGCCTTGGGAACGTTCACAGGGGCTCTATCTGTTGTTGTCCCTGAAACCTCTTTGATAGTTCAGAAGCAGAGCAATGGCTGGCTGGAGGGCAGGGGAGAAATTGTCACTTCTGTTCTGCTGGACCTGCATGCTGATAAAGACGCATGTGAATGGAGCTCCAAGACAGTTTAACAAATTATCCAGGTAATCTGGGTATTTTTGCTGAAGTGGTTCCTCTTGTGTGGTGTTCTGAAACCACCTCTGGGTCTGAGACCCCGAGCCTGGGCACAAAGCCTAAATGTGTGAAGCCTTAGAAAGGCTTCCCAAGCTTTTCATTGTGCAGACCACATTTAATAGGGGGATTGTCTCACAGGCAGTTTCCCCTCCTATTGGCAATCAGTACGAACTTCTCCCTCCTGGCATCAGAATAACATTCCTGTGATACTTCAGCAACTACTTTAATGGAAAAGCAGTATTATACAAGTAGCAAGTTTTAGTTGTCTTTCAATACAGAATAGCTGCAAGACCCAGAGAAAAGCCAGATGCAACTGCATAGCTTTCCGAGATGACCGGTAAACATACCATCAGCCTCAATTCAGAAGCTGCAGAAAGATATGGAATGCAGAGCAAATAGCAAGCATGCATTTTGCCTAGGGGAGATACAGAAAAATCAAGTAAATTATAAAAAATACAATTATAGTAGAGTTCTTGTATCTCTGCATGGAATGGAGGATGTAGAGTGACTTGGTCAGATGGTTAATAGAAGAAAAAATTGAAGGAAAAACATATGTGTCAACATATGGCAAAGAGTCTTTGCTGTGGCAGTTGTTACTGGTAGGTAATTCTTTGAGATATCTCTGATTATATTGATCATATTCTATGATCCTCTGTGGACAGCCACAGTGTGGGAGAAGGACAAAGGCTGTGTGGGGGGACATCCTCTCGTGGTCCTTTACATGGGACAGCAGGACAGGAAGGAAAACAAATTGTAGAGGACAGTGATCTAATAAAACCAGAAAGAAAGTAATCTCCATAGTTACACAGTCATTCATTTTCTAAAGACTGGAACAGAGGATGTTCAGCTCTTTCTCCCTCTGTTTCCTTTGTTACACAAATGCTATCAAAGCCCGCAACAAGTGACAGGCTTGATATTTATGCATATAAATGACTGCAGCTCTGAAAGAAGCCTGGCCACAACATTGTGAAGCAAAGAGCCATCATTCCTGTCGGCTTCTTGCTCTGCATTGAAAAAAAAAACCCATCCCTGAGCATGGCTTTTCTGCCCTCCTGTTGCTCAGCATGGTGCATGGACACCGAACGGCTAAAGCATTTTTCAAAAGTGGAGCCCTGTGGGAGCCAGCCCCAGCATTAGTATTCTGCAGCCATCGCTGCCTGTGCCCATCAGCAGCAGATGCTCACAGAGCCAGCCTCAGAGGACCACCAAAGCACGGCACAAAGCCATCATTAGGAGCTCGGGTTATGGGTACAGAAGAGCAAATCATCTTTTTTTGAGTTAGAAGCAACTATGCTGAAGGGGAAAGTGTAACAAATCAGTATATAAAGAGTTTCAGTATCTGTTTTATGTTAGCAAAGATGCTTTTACTGCAATGCTTTTACACCTTTTGCAGTGTGACCTCTGTGCTTATAAAATAGCAGCCCTTTCTGTTTTGGTAAGAGAAACAAAAACATAAGAAAAGCAGAAATATGAGGCAAGGAGCTAAGAGAAACTTCCCCTGAACTGACGATAAGTTGTAAATTGTTTCTATGTTACTAACAAGCCCTTTTGCTTCAACTGACAAGGAAGGGGGGGAAACGACACCCTTTCTCATGACACAGTTCCATTTGCCCCGGGGCAAATTGTCACAGAAGCGAATGAAAGCTCTGCATATGTATTAGCCTTCCTGTGTTACTAGTTAATCCCACAGAAAATATCAAAATGCTGAGGCATCTATTCGAAAATAAGCTCCATGGTTCTCACAGCTATGACATTTTTTTTTCTCTCCTATGACAGAAGGGGATTAGTTCTTTTTGAGTTGGCAAAGCACTAGCGTTGCTAAGAGGTAATTACTACCAGGATCAAAAGAGTATTTCAAAATTCTAAACTTTTTACTCCTCTGTTAGGTAGCTTTAACCACCCATGAGAGGTTAAAGCAAACAGTCAACCCAAACACTGAGGGGCTGTCACACTTGATGTCCTACAGCTTAGGAGCTGAAGGTGGCCTCATATTTTACAACTGAGCTTTGGATGGGTCTTTCTCTATGTATGATTTTTATTTTGTTGCTGATGCAATTTTGCTGAGCAGCGAAAAAAAGAACCCAAACAGAAAGCCCTGCAAAGCAGCATGACAGCCTTTCCCTGTGGTTCTTCCTCCCCTCCTTTCCCTTCCCAGAAACCAGGAACTTTTCATCAGAAAGACAACCTGACAAGAAAGCAGTGGGTGCTGTCAAGTCCGCCTGTGCCAGCTGCCTCGTTTCAATATGACTTCACTGAAATTCAAGCTGCCTTGTCTTGGGGACAGGCAGGACAGGTACCTGTCTGTCTAGCTCAGATGCCTATGTCTCCTGCTGAGTGCTTGGAGGGAGGCTGCCAGAGGCTGCCACCTCTGAAAAACCTGCAGAGGATGATCTTGCCTTCCTAATCCCTTTCCTCCACCCTGTCTCTGTAGGAAACAGTGGTGTCTGCAGACGACAACCCTCTTGGCACCCAGAGCTGGCGAGAGGTGCCTAGCACGATGGCTATGACAACAGTGGCGATCTAGTGACACAAACACCCACGGGTGAAGTGGGAAACAACGGGTTAAGTGCTCTGCTCCCTTGGGATGGAGGGTGGTGGGGGCAGCCACCACCTCTGAGGGGTGTCATAAAGAGTTGGGTATCTGGTAACAGCATCCTTGCTGCAGCTGGTCAAGGAGGCAGAGCTCCTGGCCCAAAGCAGGCACAAGCAGGTGTAATTTCAGGTCGGCAACCCCAGCAGCTGGGAAGCAGCTAGGCTCATCTGGAGGTACAGGGAAGTGGAGCTGCAGCTCCTTCTCCCTGCAGTATGTATGCGTTTCACATTAAAACACACAGGAGCCAAAATGTCCCTAGAAGAAATGAGCAAAGTTTTCTCCCACGCCACTGGAACAACCCTAGGTTAGAGAAGTCTCCCTTTGCATTGTTTTTTGGCCGCAGTGCTCTTGCACACGTGGCTCCAGCAGAACGGTTACTGGGTTATCTGGCCACGACCCTGGCAGCCCAGTCCCTCTTTTATGCTGTGAGAGGCCCAGGTCACATTGCCCCTGGAGCTGCCCTGCACAAAGATCTGTCCCTTCTCAAGGCAGTGTTCCAACCAATATTTTATTTCAGGAGAAGTCAACCCCTTCAGCGGTCTTGACAACATTCCAGGCTTCATCCAGGGGACATGGCTGGCTAAACCCAGCCTATAGCAGAGCTTAAGTACCTATCTCCATGAAATGTTTCCCCTAACCCTGCGCTGGTGAATCAAGATATGGATCTAAAGACCTCTCAAACTCACCGGGAAATATTTAATGAAGAGTCACCTACAGGGTTAGGCAAACCTGGTAAGTATGTGAGCTAGGATGGAGCCTGTGGCAAAGTGAGATTTTAGGCAGACTGGATCCCGGCCCCAGGTTGTGCACGGGAAAGTGCATTTCCAAACTGCGGCAGGTATTTTCAATTTTATAGACACCTACATTTTCAATCTTCTATCCAGGAAACTCAGAGGAAGAATTCAACCAAGTATAAATACTTGGCATAAACTTTTTTTTAGCTGACTTGCAACACTGCATTGAGAATCTGAACACTGGAACATGAACTTCCATTTTCCTGCTGCGGCATGACGCTTCATGAGAACCAACACCTGAACCTCTCTTACACCGTACAGACTAGATTCCTTTATCACTACATCAGGTGGTGAGATTTCACATTTCATTCTGACCAGATTGCATGATGCACTGCAGGAGATGTAAATCAAGCAATGGGAGAGGATAAGAATGAATGCCCCAAGGTCCTGAACTGCAGCTCCCATCAAGCAGTACTTCATTATCAGGAAATAATTGCTGTCAGGAAGTAATGAAACAATTCAAAACTGAACATTACAGATCAGCATATTTCATTCATTGCTAATAAATCAAAGTATTTCAACTGTGGGAATGTAAAAAAAAATAATTCACTGCATAAATAATGTCAGAAAAACACACTATATAATATTTCCTAATTGAAACTTCCAG